GTTGTTGGATAGAAAGACCAAATAGCAACATTTGCTAGAGCGGTAAGGTCTTCTGACTATAAGCCCCTCGTGGCAACCCAATGAAGAAGGGGGCAGAATTAAGGTCCTCTTGGATGGAAAGTGCTCCCCAGCATCTTTTTGGGGTTCATGTGGAAAAACCTTTGCTAAGAATTTCCCGGTTCTCCAGCCCTTGTGCATGCAGAGGTGAAAGCTAAAGTTCTGGATGGATACAGACTGCTGCAATCACCTTAATTCCAACCCAGCCATTTAGTAAGAGGATTTCTTCTCTTTTATTCAAGCAACATTTCTTTTCCAAATGCAGGAATGAGCTAGGTTATCTCTGAGATAAGGAAGGAACCTGCAGGGCTTGATCAGAGTTGCACATGCAAGGCGGGAAACCCAACTAATCAGCTTCTTAATCAGGATCCTCCCTCAGCTCCCACATCTATGATCCCTCTTGTACTCCCACGATTGCTCACCCAAGAACACCCCTCCCCCCACCCAGGGTGCCCCATATCCTCTTTGGTCCCCCAGAGACAGTCTGCCTGCAGTGTGCTCTTGGAATAGGGAGGGAACTGGGACTTTATTTTCCACCAGTATGTTAGAAGGCCACTCAGCCCCAATCAGCTGGTACTGACTCCAAAGTCCAAAACTGGTTCAATAGAGGCTATCAATGACACAAAAATGAACTAAAGCACTCTTATTAGCTACCTAAGGACCAAAGCTATCACTGAACCTAAAAACAAGTCTGTAGCGTACCCCACGGCATTGCTCATGATGGCTCATGAACCTCCCATACTTGGCTGGAGGGTGAAGGATCACAGGATCATAGAAAATGATGGTTGGAAGGGACTTCAGGAGGTCATCTAGTCTAACCCCCTGTTAACAGCAGGACCAGCCCCAATTAGATTATCCCAGCCAAGGCTTTGTCTAGTTGGGTCTTAAAACCACTAAGGATGGAACTTCCACAACCTCTCTGGGTAACCTGTTTCACTGCTTCACTACCCTCCTATAGAGAAAGTTTTTCCTAATATGCAACCTACACTTCCCTTGTTGCAACTTGAGCCCATTGCTCCTTGTTCTGTCATCTGCCACCACTGAGAACAGTCTAGCTCCATCCTCTTTGAAACCCTTCAGGGAGTTGAAGGCTCCTACTCACAATACTAAATAAGTCCAGATCCCTCAGTCTGTACTCATAAGTTAAGTGCCTGAGCCCTCTAACCATTTTTGTTGCCCTCTGCTGGACTCCTTCCAATTTGTCCACATCCTTTCTGGAGTGGGGGACCCAAAACTGGGTACAATAGTCCTAATGTGGCCTCATCAGTGCTAAAGAGAGGGGAAGAATCACTTCCTCGATCTGCTGTCGGTGCTCCTAGTAATATGTAGCCCAGTATACCATTAGCCTTCTTTGCAACAAGAGTATGCTGTTGGTTCATGTTCAACTTATTGTCCACTAAGCTGCAGGTCCTTTTCTGAAGGGCTGCTGCTTAGCCAGACAGTCCCCAGCCTGTAGTGGTGTATGGGACTGTTCTGTGTTAAGTGCAGAACTTTGCACTTGTCCTTTTTGAAACACTCTATAAAAAAAATTCAGAAGCTGCTATGCAAGCCTGCTGCTGAAAGCAAGGTTATGAGGGCTTGGGAGAAAGGATGTCATGGTTAAAGACTCATCACTCCTGTCACTTCATGCAAGGTGACAGCTCAAAATCCACACATCCCCCAGCAAAACATGGGAGGTCAGATTTGACATCCCTGACATTTCTAAGGTAAGGGAACACACAGAATAAAATAAAAATCAACACCTCATCCTCTTTAACAGCATAATAGTAAAGTTTAAAATAAAAGGGGGGAAAGGTAGCAGAGGGACAGGAATCTTAGTTAAAAATAAGGTTGTAGGTTACCTTTGAACCATTAAGAGATGCTACTGGTAGTTTCACCCTTGGGAAAAAAAGGGAGAGCCATATCTCTGAACCCCCCAAAAATTTAGAACAGACATGAGTTCAGCTGTGGGGCCTTGTAGAAATAAGGCAGACATTTTGATTAAGGTTTTTTGCAGAAATCTACCAGTGGCTTAACACAGATTACAGCCTGTAGAATGCTTCTTTTTGAGAGCAAGGATTTCTCTGGTATGCCAAGATATGTAAGCATTCCTTCACGTACTAATCTAATCTAAGAGTCAGAGGTGTCCCATGTTGTTTTTATGACAGCAAAGACATAGGGGGAAAAATGCCCTGCAGCAGAAGAATGCCAAATTTTAAGTTCCGTGTTCTGTATTTAAGACTTGAAAAGCGTTGGCCTGTTTCTTCCCAACCTTGTACCTTCTGCAGTCATTCACACCTATGTAAAGTGAATGTAAAATGCTATTAAATCAGCATTCTAGAATTTAAAAAAATCTTCAAATTGACTTGTGGCACCAATGAGAACAAAGATCAGCTCTGTGCCAGGACTCTCTGAATGCAATGCATCTTCACTGCTGTGTTGGCTTGGGTTATTTACATGAGTGTTAACTCCTTTCCGGTTAGCCTAACTTGTACTTCAGTGGCCACTGACACTGTTTGAGGAATCTGGATTAGCAGCACAGTTATGATGCTAATTATACCTCTTGCTATATCCCCAATGGAATGGCCAACTCAAGCCAAAAGCACCACAGCAATAGAGTTATGGGCAGTATGGAAGAAAAGACGGGGGAAGAAACTCCAGTTAATTTTGCAGTGAAGAACTGCATGATCGTTTAACTAAGATAATTAAAAGTGATGGGTACAAGATTTTTCAGTAATAGCTCCTTCATCCAATCTCATGTGCCTGAACCTAGTATACAGAAGCTCTTAAGTACATATCTCCATCCATCTGGTTATAGTGGTCTTTGAGGCCTGGAACCTCATCATACAACCCTGGTACACAAAGAAAAAGAAATGCTCTGATCTGTGGAAAGCAGTAGTTCCTTGCCATCTCCACTTTATGCCTCTAACTAAGCACTGTTTCAGAGCTCTGCAACTATTAAGTGCCATTTCTTTACTAACGCAGAATTCAGCACAGCACCTTAGTAAAGAAGTGTCTTGATTAATCCAGAAGAACAAGAGGACCCTTAGGAAGAAGTCACAAAATAATAACCAGCACCTTCTTAGGACCTGTCTATACTTGGAAAATTGCTGCAACAGCTACTAAGTATAGTCAGCCGTTACAGTAAATTTTTAAGTGTAAAGAAGCATCTTCTTAAAAATTGGAAGAATCACCTGCCAGCTTTTGACCTTTCTGGCCAGTGGAACGGCTGCCAAAGAGAACACTGAGGGTAAGAAACCATCAGCTACAGAAGTGAAAGGTTAAAGAATTACTATCAAGTTCAGAGTCCAAGGGGGCAACCAGAACTTGTTACTAAACAGCCAGGCAGAACAAGCATGCTGAATAAAGGAAACAACCAACAATTGAGACCTGTGAGAGTATCTTTCGGTGTTCCCCATGACAACTAGAACAGAATCTACTGGGTTAATGTCAGTCCATTTAAAAACTGATTGTGATGCAAACATTTCCCCCACAACAGTTGATTGAGGCTAACATTTTTTTAAATGACATTCAACAGATGAGGACAGCAACAATGTTCTTCAGTGAGACTCAGTATAATAGCATTTTTTTGCTGCTTCAATATGAGCAAAAATAAAAAGGGCAGCTGTAAATGAACCACTTTAAGGGCAAATGTTACAAATACTGCCCTTCTTCAGACATGAAGCACATCAGGAGTTCTTTCATGCAGCGTCTCAAAACAATGGACATTTTCTTTTAAGCAATTGCATTTTATCTGCACTGAAAAGTGAAGAATGGCTAGATATCACTAGCTGAGAAGTCAGTTTAAAAATCTTAGTACACTGTAACTTTTTGTAATTCACACCTCACAAACGTGCATATAATGATGTTTTGTACTCAAATACAGTTTGTCTGGTGTCTATTCCCTGTCTGCAGACATAGGTATCCTGCAACATCTAACGAGTGCTTCAATTTACTCTACTAGCAATAAATATAAGGTTGCATGGAAATCAAATTTGACTTGCTAACTGAAAACACAAGCAAATAAAATTTACATTAATTGCTCACATCTTCCCTGGCTGCTCCGCAGGCTGCACCACTCAAAATTATCCATTAAAGCTACTAATATTGTATCTGTAACATGGAACATGGTGTAATTTAAGTGGTTCTAGGCTAAGAACATCCCTATATGGCCCTAAATTACATGACATACTTGTCGCAGGGCCAAGTATGATGCAAGCTTTACTCTCCAGGACACAAGAGGTCCAACTTATTATTTTAAAATCAAAATCAAGTACAGCACGCACAAGAACTTAATTTATCAACCAATTCCTATTACAGCTATCACTACGGGGTATGTCATAATAATTTTAAACAACTATTTCTAAGGGTAATGGTACCGAAATTCATAGCTTTCCAAGGTCTCAGATCAACTGAGGAAGGTCTGTTACCTGCAACTAACAAACTTCCAAAGAATCCTCATTTCTTAGTCCCTTCTATTCCCCTGCCCTAAAAGATTTAAACATTTGTCCCCATTTAAGCTAAAAATGTATGCAATTTCAAAAACAAGTTTCAGACTGCAGTTTTAACTAATTTTGTACAGCACATTAAGCATGGCATTTTATTGTGCTGGTTAAGTAAGTTTAGGACAGCTGCTGAAAACATTTGCTGAAAATACAAAATAGCAGCTTTGTTTAAGTAGTTATTGTCAAGTTTCAGTTTGCTACACAAACAAAGTAAAACAGGCTGGGAAAAAATTCAAGCTGCTACAAGTCCCCATTGCTCATGTCACTTTAAGATGTTAGCTGGAAGAACTGAGGTGTTGTTCTTCAAGCAAATGAGTGAAGAACTTTAATAAAACTAAAGTGTTTTATGGCTTTACACTTTAGACATTTGAGATGCATTAAGAGATATCAAACAATAAGCATTAAAAAGTAACAAAATATATTATGTAAAAGAAACATGCACAAGCCTTAAAAACTCACCCAATAATTGAAAGTTGTTTCAAAGGGCAAGAAGAGCTAAATTAATTCTTCCAATGACTGCCTTCCTAAACGTAAATACAGTCTGAAGTCTAAAATAGATATCTTATCATAGTCAGTGCAGTCCCATTTGAACCTACGATCTTATACTGGGTAAACAGTTCTACAACTTACACAGCAGCCTCTGGATAAAATTAACTCTAACACAGGAGAGCAGACAACACTGACAAGCATCAGCGTATGTGCAGGGTGAAAATCTGCCTCCTCTTAACAGGAAATTTTGCTGGGGGTTGGTACTGATATAACACAATACTACGTCACCAGTTATACAAACCAATCCAGTGAAACTCACATTAAAAGAAACAGAATGTTCTCTTTTTTTCCCCCCCAATGCAGTGGCACAAAGAAGAAAAAACACATTTTCACACCATGCAAGTACCTGAAATTTTTTGCACAATCAAGTTGTTTTTGAGAAGTTCTTACAAGCAACAGTATATTTATAACAAATTAAGAAAACTCCATGTTACACTACTGTATAAATCCCCAGTTTTGCAAAGGTCTTTTCATGTGCATAACTTTACTTGATAAGTCAAGTCCCATTTGGTCTACAGAACTATTCAGAATGCATATACGGTAGTTAAAAATGTGAGTTTTACGTAACTGGAGCCTAAGAGGGAAACCTTCGTTTTTATGGATTTCCCACATTAGAAGTTCACATTAAAAATAACTCATCAAAATTTTGAGTTCCATTTTCCTAAGTGGAACATGTTTCTAAATACATGTTAAAGAAAAATACTATTTGCTCAGAAACAACTGCCTCCTATGTTAAGTTTGGCAGATGTAAAGTGTTTTCTACAAAGAAGTTTACAGAATGCAAATTTTCACTCTAGCTTTCAACTTCTGATAAACAGAAACTTAGTTCAAGTGCAGTTGTGTTTATCAATAAACTTAAACACGTTCAGAACTGGATGTATACTTCAAAGGGATTTCTGGGTATTCAACATTTTGGGAAAACCAGACTAGTTATTTCAATGCTTAAATGCAGATATAGGAGCCCACTATGCAACCAATATCAAAATTTAAGTCTTAAAATATCTGAACACAGCATGTTTCCCTGCAATGAGTGTTTAAAGTTTTATTCTGAGAACAGACACCCATTTTAGAAACTGCAGATCATATTCATCCATGCGTCATTTAGTCAATGAGAGAAGTGACTATCTTCCACAAGGAGTCTCCCACATATTAGCAAGTACATACACATATTTGAGTACTCTTAATGACAAGCTGCCCAGTGAAGACGAGAGAGACTACTCATGGTTGGGCCCAGGGTTATTATAAAAAACAAAAAAGCAAGAGTGAACATGAGTATGCATCCCTTTTAAAATACTATTCAGCATAGCTTTAAGGAGTTGAACATAAAATATAATTATATTCCTTCTGTTTTCCATAATAAATCTTTTGACATTTGGCAGGGTAAACCTCTATTGTAACACTTCACAAAGTCTTATCTTTTCTGCTCTTGCTGTAGTCTGTGAAACCCTAAAGCCCACTCCAACTCTCCCTAAACTTCCACTCATCCATCTCACAGGAACAACTAAACATGTGCATCCAAATACAAAAAACAAGGTCTGATTAAATCATTTCTTATCAATTTAGTTTAACAGATTTTTATACTAACTCGTAAATTAGGATTTCCTATGACGTGAACCAACTCAGACCTGACACAGCAGATTTCTGGGGTTGATTTAATGCAATTCCCCACAGACTAGTGCTGTTACAAAGATTATTTTACCTTTACTTTGATAATATATAGACAAAATATCTAAACTTTTAAATCAAATAAGAGTAAGCAACATAGAAAAAGCAAACAGCTTTAAAGTTTTTCTTCTGCTTAATCACTGTTTGGGACCTCAGTCATGAGAAAAGTCATTCTGCCTTAATAATAAGAGCATGCAGCTTGGGTTCTCACTGAAAAAACAGGCAAAGTACTCTATATATAAACACAGAATAAGTTAAGAGGAACAGATTTTAGGAGCAGAAAAAAAAAATCAACTCAGTTCCCATCAGAATTAAGAGATAAATGTTTAACGGTATAACCTTCAGACAGATCTATAAACCGCTTTTTGTAATAGCTTTTTTTGTTTTCAGGACACAGTCATGTCATCTATTGTACTTTATAACTCAGACTCATCTGGAATCAGGGTTATTAAGTTGCTGCTGATTCATAAATCAGAAAATAGAACACCTTTATTTAAATAACCAATTTTTTAAACTTATCTTTCATTTGCACCTTGTTATCCTAAAGGTTGCTTCTTATGGCTGATAGCCATTAAATATATTGATTTGCAACTAAGTATAGCCTTTATACTAAATTTAGTACTTCACTTTGTTAACCAGCTGGATATTCCAGACACACACACACACACACACACACACACACACACTGATAGATCTAGATATATACTTATTCAAAAAATATGTAGTTTACTATGCATTCATTCTGATTCTTAATTTTTACATTTTATTATAACATAAAATAATGAATGGCACATTTCTAATTTATCAATGATTTTCTACTTTTTATAATCAAAATTGAATTGGGATGGAAACAAATTTCTATTGAAAGCCTGCATGCAGCATTTTTAAATGTTCTATTAAAGAAAATTAACTCAAATGTACAGGAATCATAAGAGAAAAGTTTATTTAAAAATGTTTCCCATTTAAAACTACTGATTCATTACACAAAGCATCATCTGCAGTTAATGAACTAAACTCACTATTCCTGGCCATCATGCCCATCAAGATTTTAGAACTAGCAGACTTAATTCCCTTGAGCCCATTTTTATTCACAAATTAAAAAAGGAAAACAAAGCCTTCCTGCTTTTTCAACTCCCTACAAGTATTTCAATTTTGAATAAACTAGTAATTGAACTGAAATAATTTGAAAAGAAGACACTCTCACCTGCAGAGGAGGTTACTGCTAATAAAAGTTGGTTTGGCACTTCAACAGACTGGCTTCACACACTTAGCCAAAGGTTTGCAGCAATTCAGTCATTTTTCTTTAAAACTTCCGCATAAAAAGTCTTGTTTTTGCAATTCAAATAATTAATACATTATAGTAAATGTAGGCCTTAGTGTGCATTGTTAATTTCAAATGTAAGTAGGACTCTTAAAGGGAAATGTATTTAAAAATTCTTGATTTATAAAACTGACTTTGCCCATTTTGACAAAAATTAATTTATCCTGCACAAAATAATCCAATATTGTAAATATAAAAAAGAGAGAAGAAAAGAATATAAGACTCTCCTTTGTGGACAATGATTTGGTTAAAGGAGCTCTGTTGATAGAAAATAAATATTTGTCTTTATATACATGTTAAGTTATTGGATGCACCTTTAAATGTTAATTTTTTTTTAATTTGATATGTCAAATTGTTAACAAACAGAGTTTAAAAAACTGTGAACCCAAAATGCTGTAAGATATATACTCAGTTCTGAGGGAAAAAAGTGAGTTAATAAGATCAAATTATATAAATTTCATAAAATTTTATTCTGCATACCTAGTTTAAAAAATACTGAAAAGAAAAATATGGTTCATTAGCCTCCATTGAAGACAGCTATCGCCACTTTCCTCTAACCCTAAAATTCTACTAATGTCTCATACATTTTTCTCTAGGAGGATCCTTCCTCTGCCCATAGCTACTTCTCAGAACAGAGTCAAATCAGAGGAAATGCCCAGATGTTGCATCAGTAAAACATTCAGGAAGAATACAAGAACACCAGCATTAAGAGTGTTTCACAGGAATGCCAAGATGCACATGGCAAACATGAAACATGAAGAGCACCAGTAGCTGGAAGAACTGTAGATAGGCACCAAGAAGAATCTTTTGAATTTCACGTTCTCTTTTGAAATGTTAACAGATTTTAACACATAACTGTGTCAGCAGCTGAAGAATCCATTAAAAGCTTTTAGTAATACACAAACAGGAATTTCTCATAACAGATTGTCTATCTAGGCCTTCATATAGCCCCTGTCACTGTAGCATGGGAATGAGTAGGAAAGTAATACCTTAAAGGCAGGATTTTTGTAGGTAATAACTTTCACTGGACCAACTACATGGTTGGGATAGATTTATATGAGCTCTCAAATGCATTGCATTTTTCTTCAGGTCCCAAGTCCAACATATTGGTTCCCTTATTGCAAGTTATAGAACTGTTTCTATCACTCTAATAAGTCTAATTATTCTGAATTAATTGACAATGAAATGAAAATAAATGTAGAGTTCATACCATTAAGAAACTATACCTTTCAACTGGATTTGTAAAACTTTGTGATACATAAAGTGAAACTCAATGCCAAAGGTCAAGCTTTTAGTCATAATTCAAAAATAACTAACATTTTATTAAGGACAAAACACTGTTAATTACATCAATTAGTTCAGCTTAAAACAAACAACAGATTTGTTACACACCTCCAGTAGAAATGCTATTTAATACAGAAAATTTTATAAAACTTTACGATTTAAACATGTAAGTTAGGTAAACTTTTAATGCCGCCCCCAATCCTTGAACAGATTCATTACAAACAATGCAGATTGATTACATGATCACAACACACTAGGCAATATCAAGTGTCATCATGATTGCAGGGAAAGGGGGGGCTCACAAACATCAGGTAATGGAGAACATGCCTAGTTGCTCTTGATCAGATATTTCATCTCAGGGCCAAGGTGTTCAAAATACAGGAGCCTAAACTTAGTGTTTTACTAAGTACTCTTAACTTTTCAGAAGTGCAGAGTACCATTAAAATCAATAGAAACTGTTGAGCATTCTGCACTTGTGAAAATCAAAACACTTATTCAATATCTTAGTTTTGAGGTCATATTTTTTATGTTGGACAGTAGGTGGCAAATTGGATTAGACAGGAGGACACCACTTTTCTGCTCAATTTGTGATGCACATTTGCAGCACTCTGCATTACAAGTTGGCTTACTATACTAAATGCAAGCAAAGTCTCTGCCATGCTGTGTTTTGTAACTGGTGTGTATCCAAATAAAAAGTAAACCTATTTTCAAGGTGTAAAGCAGGAACAATCCAACAATGAAAAGTACAGCACAATTATGCTTTCCCTAGGGTGAATTCAGAGTCAGGATTATATTAAAGACACAAGGAAAGTATTACAGTTCAAGGATGTGAGGGGATGAACAAACAAGAGAGCCATGTGACATTTGTGCAGTGTCCTCTCAGATCCTGCTGCCCCTGCTTCCTCCTAT